CCTCATAGAGATATGGGTTGAAAGCTATAATATCAGTGCATTGGTGAAGTCCGAGAGGAATACCTTCAAAGTAATTGGTAAAAATAGTTGTTACTGATTGCATGCTGTAGGAATCTGTCAGCATGGTTTCATGCTGTAGCATTTTGACAGCATTGGTCGACTAGAAATAATTTTATATCTCACTCAAAAAGTCATACACCCTAGCTTGCTTTTATATTCTGTTATCTCCTGTTTTTAGTTGTGTTAACTCTGTTCTAATCTAAGTCTTCGAATTCGYCTTCTGAAATCATTTCCTTAACTTTACTTTCTTTTAAACTTTTACTACGATCCCTGTGGACGATATCGGTACTTGTACCACTTTTATTACTTGAAAAACGATATTGGGACTATTTGTATACTTGCTTTTGGTCCTAATTGTTGTTTGGGGCTGTGGTGTTTCACGGCCCATCAAAGCTATACACTAAAAAAAAGATAAAGAAATACAAGATTTACAAGATTGAAAGGTTTGTTTAATATAGATTGTTGAAGTTGATGTAATCTGGAACATCTTTTCTTTGCATCTTACGTCTGAGCATTTCCTTTCGAATCTTGCGGTCCATCATCTCTCCATATAGATCATGATTCAGCCAAGTTCTTAGATATTCTAAGTGATCTATTGGGAAGATATGGAACTCAGATATTCGTTGAAATCTATATTGACCATCATAGTCAATGAACATAAGTCCATATTCAGGTTTCACATGCACTGTATTGGGTATATAAGAACCCTTTTCAGATAGTGACATATTCAACATTGAGATATCTGACTTCTTTCTATCCTTGAAGAGTTCATCCACAGGAAATTTTGTATCATCCTCGTTCTTGTTGATGGACCTTCTTTAGGATCAGAAAGATTCTTTCTTCGAGAGAGCTTCTGTGATAGAGGAGGAACCTCGACGATCTTCAACACCTTGTTGAATAATTCATTCAGAAGTTCTTCAATGTAATCCTTGTGCTTGGATTTGGACTTTTAGAAAGCCTGTCAAATTTTGAGCCATTCGTAGAAACCATACTGACTGAGGAAGGAAGTATAATCAGTGACAACATCGTTGTTCTCTCAGAATATGACCATTGAAATAAGTAGAGCACCATTTTTCATTCAACCACTGATAGTAACGTTTGAGATTTTGTGTGGGCACATTCTTTTTTTGATCCTTTCTCTGCACCAGTTGAGATGACGATCCTTCATTTTTAGCACCCGTTGTCTTTCTCGTTTAGCTTCTGCCAAGAGTTGGGCTTGAGCACTAAGTGGATCTTCCCTCTTGAATTTCCCTTCAGCAAGTGACTGGTCAGCTTGATTCTTAGCTAACTCCAAGCTGTCTTTAAGTTGTAGTTGATGTTTCTCAGCTCTTGTTCAGCACGTAGGGATTCTTCACGTTCAACTTCTAAAAGAAAATCAAACTCACCACATCCATAGGTACGAAGAGGAATTTTTACTCCGGATTGGTCTAGTTGACTTATCAGCTGAGCCATCCTCAGGTCTTCTTCAACTTATGAATACTTAAGTTGTCTAGATGACTTCCTGGGTTTTAGAGTGTTGACTTCATCTCCATCTTCATTGTCCTCTAGGGTTTCAATAGATAAGATATGGTTTGAGAGACCAGGAGGGTTTGTTGCAGAGAGAGGTACAAACCTGGAAATGTCTACATTCTCAGATTGACTGATCGCCCCAAGAACTAGGGAGAGGTTTTCATCAGCCACTCGTTTTCCTTTATCTGAGGAGTGTTGGTTTCTTGATGATTTATCCCCCTCGAAAGCAGGTTTTCTGATGAAGATTCCTTTTGCTGGTAGTATTGGTATGATTTGGACGTAGAAATCATCATCATCGTCATCATCATCATCATCATTACCACCAAGATCAGTAACTGTATTTGGAAGTTGAGGTTTAGAATCCTCATCATCATCATATTCATCTTTATCATCTTCATCACCAACATTTAGAAATGTAGAGGTGGAAGAACGAATGTCTTCATGGTCAGCAGCAGTATCCACGACGTCATCGGCATCATCATCATCATCGATGGATTTAGGGATATTTTCCCTGGCATCCTCAGTAGCCAACTTCTCCATAGTCTTCTCACCAAGGTCCTCATTAGATTTCTCTCCCTCTTTGTCATTATCAACATTAACAACTGAGAGAGGTAGGCTAGAAACTAAATCTTGATGGTGAGGTACGAGGTCTTGCAGCTATTGCTCGATGGAGATAATTGCTTCGGCTTGATGAAGGTTGAATTTAGCAACCTTATCCAGCTAATGACGATCAGATACAATAAAGGAGGGTTCATGGACAGGTGTTGGTTGCTGAAGAAGTTGGAAGATCCGTTCAAGGAGCTCACCATGCCTGGAGAGTGCAACGACAGCTTCAGAATTCTGTTAGACTTCCATCTTCATGACGTTCAATGTTTATCTAACTTTACGCACCTTAGCTTGGACAACAGATAGGCCATGAGTCAAATCATCCTTTGAGAACATTCCCTATTGCACTTCATCCATCTTGTCGAGGACAGTTGTGATGGCATGGAGCAGTAGCTTGACATCCCCAGCCATGTAATAGGCTTCAGTCTCGGGGACTGGGGGTTCATTCTCCAAAGAAACTATAGAGATAGGAGACCATTGAGCATAAGAGAGCTTAGTGTTAGTAACAAAGAAAGAAAGGGAGGTTTGTTGTATACCTGAGGGGTCATCAATAGTATCTGAAGAATTACCACTGGGCATCTTAAATGCATTTTCTTGAGAATCAGCAGCATGTATCTGAGGAGTTCCATAAGAAGCATCCTCAGATCCTCTGGTGCTGGCTTCACCAATGGCGGGGACAACCACCATGGGATCATTAGCACATGAAATAGAGACCAAAGAAGAAGGGGAGGAGAGAACGGTTGAGAATAGAAGTGGAGGATCAGTCGTGGCTATGCTGGGAATCACACATTCTATGATTTGAGTCATTGAAGTGATTGGGGTAGGAAAGACAAATACAACAACAACTAAAGAGATTGTTGAAGAGGTAGAGAGGGAAACAACAGATGTCTCGGAGGTAAGGCGAATTTCTATAGTTGACACCTATTGAGAGGTCTTAGCTAGTTTGGATGGCTTATCCTTTTTGGATTTCTTAACCTTCTTTAAAGGAGTAACAGGGGATTCAGATGGTGTCCTCTTTCGAGGGAGATAGACTGAGGGGGGTTTTATCACGGTCGTAGCTACTGAAGAAGAAGAAGGAGGAGGAGGAAGAGGAGCATTGGCTATCATAACATTGTAGGGAATAGACCAATGTCTAAAGGCTTGGCCTTGTGATCAAGAATCCTTGATCCAAGCCGACAGATAGGGAGGTCTATCTGAGTGGGGTACCTGGTTGCTAAGATTCTGAAGAGAATGCCACTCAGAAACTTGGTGCAGGGGACCACCTTTTCTCGCTGACGCTTGTTCAGCTTCAGTACCAGATCGTCGAATATGATTTTCACGAAGTTGATGTTGATGTCTCTGATTACTAAGCAGTTGATGTTCAGCGCCACGCGACTTGCTTGATCATGGCCACTAGTCTTTCCACTCATTCACTAAATGATGTGCGAAAACAGGTATTGCAAGATCACGGATATCCCATTCTTCTCAATTGTTGTCAGCGGCTTGTTGAGGTCAGTGTTGGAGTCTTTCTTCAGAGGTCAGTCATAGCCAATATCGTCTAGAATTTTGACAATATGCTCAATGTTTGGGTCTCTAGCATAGGGAACGGACATAGGAAGTCTAAGAGCAGTCTGAACGGTTGAGAAGTTGTAGCTTACTATCATCTGGTTGATCTCATAGAAGATCTATACAATTGATGTTCCATTCTTATCAGTCACCATCTTTGCTTCAGTAGTATACCAGAACTGCCTCAGGATATCCTTCACCATTACAGGTAAGAAGGTGAGGGCGTATCCTAGAACACCGTTCTTCAAGAACTTAGCAGCATCTACAAATGGGGTTTGTCTGCAGGGATATCCAGAAGTGCAACGTGATTGTTGGGCTTGATTGTGATGTCTTCCAAGACAAAGTTCACGCGTTGAGCAGCAGGCATTTCTGTAATAGTGAGAACAAAAAAATGGAGTTGTGCATAGATTTATGTTACAAAGCACTTTAGGAATAAAGTTTGAAGAATAAACTTTCTTTTGAAAAACCAGAATAAATTAGGGTTTTCCAGAAGATGAGGGTTTTAGAAACATGGTTAAAATAAATCAAGAAGAAGAATGATTCCCAAAACTGGTTGTTTGTATAAAAAAGAGGGAATGACGTTTTTCTATAACAAACAAGTTTCTTGAAGAATAACAGACAAAAATAAGAATTTTACAAACTTTTTTCTTGAAAAAAGGAGAAGAAAACTGGTTTGAAAGGGTTTTCTAGGAGTTCTTACTTGCACAAAATGTAGAGAGAGTATTTGTGTTTGCTTAAGAGAAATATGAAAGGGTAAGATATATATATATATATATATATATGTGAGATGAGAGAGAAATAGGAGAGAGGAAAATGACGCTTCAAAAACATGTGCAATGATGAATTCCTTTGCACGTCATTTTAAGGTGAGTGTGTAGAAAAGAAAATGGGCGAACGTGTGTCAGAAAGACGTGCGTGATACCATAAAAAAATTTAATGACGTCATAAAATATAACCATTCATTATCCTTTTTCTTTTAAAACATTTTGATCACTAAATAAGACACGATTCAACGATAGTTTTAAGTTTTTTTTAAAACAAAAGATCACTGAATAGGGATAGAGTTTAGTGATAGTTTTAATTTTTAAGAAAAGAAAAATATACATTAAAAGAAAGATACATTTACTAAAGAGTTCAGGGATAGATAAGAAACACTGAAACATCTCTTTTAAAATATTTTAATCATTGAATGAGAAAAGTATTTAGTGATAGTTGTACGTCTTGAGAAAAAAGAAGAAATAAGTAGACATACCTTACAGAGAAAGATACATTTACTTAAGAGTTCGGTGATAGATTAGAAACACTGAATCATTGCACTTTGTATCACTGAGTCATGCTTAGTGCTGAAGAAATCAATCCTCAGCGTTCAACATTCCAAGTTCGCTGATTAAAATATTAAATCTTGTTTCATCAAGAGGTTTTCTAAACAGATCAACTAGTTGACACTCAGTGGGTACGAAGTGAAGTTTAATATTATCATTCATAACATGATCTCTTATAAAATGATATCTTATCTCAATATGTTTGGTCTTAGAGTGATGTACATGGTTGTTTGCAGTTGCAATGCACTACTGCTATCGCAATAGATATGGATCTTAGAGAGCTGAAGATCATAATCACTGAGCTGATTTTTCATCCAAAGGATTTGGGCACAACAGCTTCCAGCGGCTACATATTCAGCTTTATCAGTTGATGTAGACACCGAGTTTTGCTTTTTACTTGTCCAGCTCACCAACTTTCCACCTAGAAGCTGACAACCTCTAGTGGTGATTTTCCTATCTATCTTGCAACATGCAAAATCACTATCTGCATAATTAATTCGAAACCTAAGTTTTTGGGATACCAAAGGCCTAGATTAGGAGTATTCTTCAGATATTTGACTACGCATTTTACAGCAATAAGATGGGATTCATTGGGTTCAGAGTAATATCTTGCACAAAGACAAGTATAATACATGATATCAGGTCGGCTAGCTGTAAGATATAGCAAGGAGCCAATCATTCCTCTATAAGTAGTAACATTTACATGCTTTCCATTTGGATCCTTATTCAGTGTTAGAGGAGGAGCCATTGGAGTCTTCATAAATGAACAGTTGGTTAAGTCGAATTTCTTCAACAAATCCCAGATATACTTACTTTGACTGATGAAAAATGCCTTTACCAGATTTCTTAATCTGAAGACCTAGAAAATATGTCAATTCTCCCATCCTGCTCATATGATATTCTTTCTTCATGCGTTTTGAGAAGCGAAAACATAAAGAGGGATTAGTGGAACAAAATATAATATCATTGACATAAATTTGGACTAGAATGATATGTCCCTTGACTTACCTAAGAAATAGGGTCTGGTCAATTTTTCCACGGAAAAATTTCTCAGAGATGAGAAATGAAGAAAAAGTGTCATACCAGGCCCGAGGGGAATGTTTTAACCCATAAAGAGCTTTATCCAATCGATAGACATGATTAGGATACTTTGTGTCAAGAATCCCTAGAGGTCGTTCAACATAAACTTCCTCCTGAAGTTTTTCATTAAGAATAGCGCTCTTTACATCCATTTGGTAGACTTTAAAGTTCTTATAGGTAGCATAGGCTAGAAAGAGTCGAATTGCTTTGAGTCCAGCCACCGGTGCGAAGGTCTCATCATAGTTGATGCCTTCTTCTCGTCTATATCCCTTAGCAACAAGACGATCCTTGTTACAAGTTACAATTCCTTGTTCTTCCAACTTATTACGACAAACCCATTTGATTCATATTACATTTTTGCTAGATAGACGCGAGACAAGGTACCAGACTTTGTTTCTACCAAACTCGTTGAGTTCTTCTTGCATATTAGTTATCCAGCTTGAGTCAATGATAACCTCACTGATTTTCTTGGGCTCAACTAAAGAATGAAAGTTGACAAAGAGACAGATATTACCTAGATCTCGACCAGTCTGAATACCTGCACTTGGATCACCAAGAATTAGATCGATGAGATGATCTTTCATCCATAGTTGAGCTAGTAGATGATATAGATTATCACCTTCTGAGTTTTGGGGCTCAGGTACAGAAAATGAGGCTTTAGCAAAAGAGTCTTTAGCAACAACTTAAATTGTCAAAGGAGCCTTAGTGAGAGATTCGTTTACTGAGAGAGGTTTAGTGACTGAAGAAGATTCATCGACTGAAGGATCAATATTTGAAGTAGAAGGGGGGTATGTGACTAATGGGAAAGGAATCAATCCATGATGAGGATTCAACTTCGTTATTAGTCACGTATGGAATGATAAATAGATCATCGTCAGCTTCAGGGAGATCAGTGGTGGGTTGATTGTTGAAGGAAGCTTTAGGTTCTCCACAGTGAGATGTCATCTATTTGTCTAAGTCTTCGTCATCTTCATAGAAGGGTTTAGA